CAGTGCTTAAAGAAACAAGGGCCTTCTGTTCGAGTATGCCATCTTTTATAAAGAAATAAGATTCATCGAAATTCAACTGCTACAAAATTGTGCGCCTGTGGTCGACTTTATATTCGTGAGACATACGCCTATTCGCCAAAGATTAGAGTAAACATTAAAATGCTTGTAAAGGTATCTGAGTGCAGTGTTCAGTAGTGGTTGAACATGGCAGAGACTGGACATGAGATAGAATGGTCTCAAACGAATAGGTTTGCTGATTATGATAAATCTGCTATTAAAATGTAGTTAAGAGAGCCTATTGTAATTAATAGATTAGGGAATACGCTGAATGTGAGGAACGGTAGTAGAAAGTTGAGTAAAAACTACTTATTGAGGTTTTTTTACCTTTTTTTCGCAACTTGGTCATATTGGTAGGAAGACTTCGAGGAATGCACCTAGTCCGGAGTCCATTGTATGCATGATCATTTCCAGAGCTTGACGTGTTGTTGTGTGGTGCTAAGAATGGCGGACTCACTGACGATGCCGGCGAAACGTCTTGGAATGTACCGCGTCCACGGTCCTACTTCGGAAATGATGATGCATACAATGGACTCCGGACTAGATACGTTCCTCTAAGTCTTCTTGCCAATATGACCAAGTTGCGAAAACAAGGTCAAACAACCTCTTTACAACGAAAGGAAACTGCGACCACACAAAAGACCACACCATCTTGGTCTTCATACCTTCGATTATACTTATGCATTGTTTGAAAATTGCTGGATTAGGTGATGTTGAGCCTTAAACCCAAAGAAGGCAAATCATCCTATTAGCCCGGTGATGGTCGTAATCTCATTCATTCGTCGAATATAGAGATTAAGGTCATCAACCAAACCAGATTTATGAGCTTACACAATTCCAACCATGCCTTTCATTAGGTCGTAAAATCTTAGTGACCCTACACTGAGAGGCTATGACAGGTGGATTCGTTATTTGAATTATTCGTTTACAAGCTTACATTTTATTATCCCAACCAGAGTTGTCTATGTTCTTACGCAGTCTCGATCAAGCTTTTTTCTTGGATCATTAAGTCTTGGTTACCCAAGCCTGACAGGCTTTTATAATCACTATGCCTTGGGACCGACAATGCGTATAGACGTTAACACACACATAATCGATAAAAAGTAGCATGATCAATATGAAAGTTTATAGGCAAACCACTGTATATCTATCTATGCCTATATATTTTCGCTTTTTATTTATGGGTACATATAGGAGGAAAGATAGAGCCGCTCTGTCTTCGTGACCTTGTGTTAACGTGAAACTTTTAAAAGAATTGGTTCTATTTTTATTGGTGTCCATCATCTGAATTACAAAGGCTCAGTCTATTTTCACTCAAAACTACAGTGGATGTCTCGTACTGTGTCAGCCTGAACTTCGTATTAGAGCCAAATGACTGGAGTAAAATAAAAATCAGCCGTCATCTGGTGAGATCGACCTTCGAATCTCCTCATGTACTTTAATAAAAAATGAAGGTCTCCCTAACAATATTATCCTATGAGATTTATATAAACCAGTAACTCTTTCTATCAATAATTGTATGAATTGGTTTTTTTCCAACCCCTCTTTATTCCCTCAATAATGATGCTTCATTTCCTATTTGTTTACTTTGGACTCGCATGTATTGTTGACTTTTTTCATAGTAGTTTACTTTGCTTTTATTCTGGTTATATTCTTTACTTCATTCTTTGGTTGCTCAGCTGAATTATTTGATGCACCTATACGATGCTTTTTTCTCGGGGGATCTTTTTTCATTTTATTTTAGATGTGGTGAAGAGTCTGATTTTAGGCTCAACGAACAATGTCGAGATGAGCCTAATCAGGACCTTGTCAGTTGTTCTGCTTCTGACTGCCCTAAAACCTATCACATTGCCTGCTTAAACATTGACAAACGGCCAACAGGTAAGGGTGTCCTTATTTCTTCCCGTGATCTATCTCCCTTTTTTTCCTATTCTTTGCTCTCTTTTGCTCTC